TTGATGATTATTATAAATTTATATTTCATAACAAGAAGAAAACCAAGAGAATTTTTCACGATTTAAAAATTCAAATAATGAACCGTGGATCAATTCATGACAATTTTTTCAATTCTCATCAGCCATTCATAAACCATATTGAATTGCATCGCTACTAATATTCAAGTAGAAGACTCTATCCAGTTGATCGACTCTCAAGAGATATATTATGGATATTTCAGTGTTGAGAGAGCACTCCTGAAAATTATCCATTGGCTTATTCAAGTTCATGAATATTTCAAAATCGTTCCTATCTTTGTTAATTTGTTGTATCGTAGCTTCTCGAAAGAGATACTTTTTAATTAAATATATAGCTATTGAAAAACTATGCAAAAAAAATTGATTTTTATCGATTTTTCTTCGTGATAAATGAAATATCGTTAATCGATACTCTTTGGTTGTCATCCGTTAGAATCGAAATCAATAAAAATAATTAATAAAGTTTCGATTTTTTCGCTTATTTTTGACTACAATCAGTTAAAAAACAATGACTAAAAGTTGATTTTTAATCATTTGTAATTGATTTTAATCTTATGTTTTTACATTGGGAAATGATGATGATGATTTGCTTCAGGATGAAAAATAAGTTAGTTTATATTTGAAAACATTCGTGTCACTTTAGTATGAAATGTTCTACCATTTACAAAGTTGACTTCGAACATTAGAGATACAATTTTAATTAGAAAGCTTTCAGCATAGTTTCTACAAGACTATAATGTAGGGCACGACTGAATTGCCTTTATTGAACATCATATTTCAAAAACAGTTAAACATTATCAAGACCTCATCCTTGGAGAATTTCTGACAACGTGTTTAAACTTAACTCATGTGTTATGCTTCAGCATATTGCCAGTAACATCAATCTTAATTAAACTCTTTCATAGTTCTGACAAAGAAAAAATTGCACGATCTAAATTACTAGAAAATTTTCGAGAACATTTCCAGTCCAATCTTGAGTTTTAACTAACATATTAGATGTTGCTCTCCAATTTCCGTTGCTAGACAACTTCCTAATTGACATATTTATGTAATTTCAAAAAAGGAATATTTTCCTATTGAAATGTTTCATAACATGACAGCTTTGATTTTCTTCATCCTTTCATTAGAAAAAAAGTTTATTCAAAAACAAGTTTGACCACATCCAAAAAATAGAATCTAAAGTCGGACAGTGTTTTCAAGACTTTTCTATTCAGTTTCTCAATTACTTTACTCTTGCATTTTGCTGTGTGAAATGTAAATTAAGATATTGTCTGGTATTGTTACTGATAGACATTCATATGAAAAACTTCGAAAAGAAAAGTCTGATCAGACAATATTTAAGCGGTTTCAATATCAAAGGACAGCTTCTCAGAAATTTACTTTTCATTTTTATCAACAAAAGTTGTAGTTATTGAAGTACGTATAGAGAGAAAGAAAGAATAAGAGAGGAAAAAATAGGAAGAGGATACTCATAATATATGAACAATGTATTCCTTCAAACATTTAGTGACTGGATAGTAGACTCGAAGACGAAGATAGCTACAGAAAAGAATAAGATTCTTTTTCCATTTCAGTATTCCATTTACTATATATTGGAAGAATGCTTGTCTCATCTATTATAACTATCCTACGCCTTTCCTTTGCTCTTTTCTTCTTCCTCTCTACATGTATTTCGATAACTAAAATTTTAGTTGACAAAAATCAATAATAAATTTCTGAAGAAGCTATTGTTCGAAATTGAAATGTCAAAAAGTTTCAATACAAATGAAAGAAAAGAGTTTATTAGGCGTTGAATTATAGTTGCGAGAGTGACTGTAACTCGGCGTATACTAATATTGCGATGTGATGTACGATTGCTTGATCACATGCAGAAACACACAGAACCTACGCAAATCATTTCTTTCATACATTATCGAGGTTTTTTCTTTCTTCAATATTTTTTGTTTATATCACGTGGCCGTCTTACACTTGTTTTTTTTTCATGTAGTATGTTTACAATATATCAAAGTAGTGTTGGCAACTTCCAAGTCGAATTTGCATAAGAGCGACATAAAAATGTGGGATAACTAACAAAATACGATGTTTTTCTCAATTAGATGCCACAAAAAATCATGTTTTTGTCTTATTATTTTTTTTCGGATTGTTACATGAACAAATAGCAATAGAAATTTCTACTCGTGAGTATTCGATTACGAAGGTGTCATAGAAAATTGAATAGGACGCATGTGGGAAAAAATTTTACCATAGAATTTCAGGTTTTTTTTTTTCGTTGGGATATAACAGAAGCTTGCTTGATTTTTACTGTTTTGAAGGATGATCGCCTATAGAATAGAAGCTTAAGTCATGCAGAGATACGTGTATCAAGGTCAACATCGTCGGAGATAAGCAGTAAAGAGAAGAATATGTTACGAGACAAACAAGAAACAGTTTGAAACCTGTTAATAGTTAAATTTCGGATGATGACAATAGAAATGACATATGATTTTGTCAAATTCGGTCACAGTTTTACTAGATAAACAGCTGCTATCAACATAATTTGATTTTTAAATGTAATTTTCCAAATGTTGTCTCTATTCTTTTTCAGATCTTCAGTTTCTCAACTAATCTCCCACGATTTTAATAGAAGAAAGTGAACGACAGCAAAAAGAAATGGAAAATATGACTTCGAATACAAGACTAATGGCATCACACATGTTGTTTTCACCTGAAACAAATAATCTAGTTTTATTACAATCACCGTCGGAAATTCAATCTAGTATACCAGAAAATTCAACAACTTTCTCATCAGCTTCAACGAATCAACTAAGTTCAATTCAATCCGGTAGGTAAAGATGCTCAATACAAGATGATTTCGAAATTTTGATGATTTTTTTCAATGCTTTGAGATGCATGTATCAAAACTTTCTCGTGGTCGAGGGGGGAGTGAATTTGAACGTCTCCTTTACTTTCATATCAGCACCCTTAAAAATTAGTAATTAAGTCAGTCACATGATAGTTAATATAGGTCAATCATCTACAGCTAATTTTGTTTATAACAATTGATGCATAAAAGCTCATTGTATGTACTCTATATTCTATCCAATTGTAGATTCGACGAGCAACTTGGAGGAAGCACGAACGACTTCTCTCTCGCTTCCGTATAAAGCAAATTCTAAAAGTAAGAATGTTTATTGACATTAACAAAAAAAATTAGTAGGAAACTAGGAATTCGTGTAGTTGAAGCTTCATATATTCCATTGGCATGAAAGTTTGACTGAAAATTTTCGATTTTCTTTGTCAAGAGGTCTATGTTCAAACAGAGAACGAGCAGAAACTCTTGAAAAACAAGAAGATCAAAGCGAGATCAACTGACGACTACTCTCATCATTCTAGACAAGTAGCAGTCTTTGAAGGAAACAACCGTAGACTAGAATAGTTTCATGTTGCAGTGACAAAAATTTTCTTGAAATTTTTTCATTTATTATTTCACAGTGATATTTTTCTTGAACAAAACAGAGTTTTGAGATATTGACAACTGAGAAGTCTATTTTGATTATTGAGATTTCCATCAATTCTGTTATGATTTATTAGAAATACTAAAAAAAGAAAATTTTGCCTAAAGGTTGTTTCTTATAATTTGATAGTCGACGATCAACTTCAAGCATTGGCTCAAAAGTACGATATTCACAGAGAATTTGTTGAGCGTCTTCGTGTTCTTCAAGATTACGAGATCGTAATTATATGTGATGATTCCGGCTCGATGAAGACATTCGTCGATAATGGTAACCGTACTCGTTGGGATGAACTTTGTGAGATTACGAAAATTGTACTCGAAATCGGCACTATATTCGACTCAAACGGTGTTGATCTTTTCTTTCTCAACCGATGTAGCTATTTCCGAATCAAAGATCCCAGAGAAGTTGACCAAGCCTTCTCTATTAGTCCTAGTGGCTACACGCCACTCGTTACTGCTTTACGAAGTGCGATTGGATTGCCAGCAGCTCGATATGGCAATGATAAAAAGCTACTGATATTCGTTGCCACTGACGGAGAACCAACTGACTATGAAGGTACTCCAAATCTATCTGAGTTTGAGCATGTTATGGGTAATGAGCGTAATCCAGAGACTACTCATGTGATGTTTCTACTTTGTACTGATGAACCAGATTCCGTCGAACATTTTACTCAATGGGATCAAACAATGAAGAATGTTGATGTAACAGATGATTTTCCAACGGAAAGAGAAAAAATACGCCGTTATCGTGGACCGGCTTTCCGATTTTCGCGTGGCGATTATGTTGTTAAAGCACTAATTGGTGCTGTCGATCCAGAAATCGATAAGCTAGATGAACCCATTCCATTAAACAGTAACTAATAACAATAACTAATACATTTCTGTATACTTTTCGAGATGATATTATGAAGGTGTGGGTGTGGCATACCTAAAACCGATTGAAGTTTTTTTGTCCTGGATCAGACCGGCCGGTCAATATTCTCGATTTAACAGGCAAAAAATCGCGAGAAATGAGACGATTAATATGTAATTTAATCAATCAATGCTTTCGAGAAAACAGTCTATTTACTTCAGATCTGCGAAAACATATGATGTAAAACTCATATAACACTAGAAGTTTTTAATAATAACAAGTCCTACTTTAGTCTGTCACGTTTCATCTGATAATTCACAGCAACTAATACTGAACAACATCTATTCTACGTTTTGGTTGACTTTTTTGTTTTTAATGATGATACGATTTCTCTCCAATTGATACCGTTCGGTTTTAAAACATCATAGGGACCTGAAACCAACGAAACGGTCAGTTCGATATCATTTTGATAATTCAGTTATAAGTAGAGTGTGGGTGTGAATCTCTCGATGTTCGTATCTTTATGATTGAGCGTAAGTGTGATGTGTTATGTCTGGTTGCGCATGCAGGTGCTGCTGTAAAGCTAGAAGGCACACACTAACATTAAGCATCAAAACCCATCCTTAACAATACCTATACTAACATCCACACATATCTACTGGAAAGGAAAGGAAGAATAACTATGTCTTTCGGCTACCATGCAGTATAGAATGACACATAGAGACAAAAGACCAGACTGACGCAGAGTTCTTGCGCTCAATGGTTTGAGCTCCCCGTACGCGCTGACTAAACACGTACTAGACACACAGGCAGATGCGTGTCATAACTTCTCCAGTATACTATTGGACTAGTAATCCGTGACAAATAGTCGTTAATGACTTGCCTGGGATCATTTCATGGCTGGCGGTACCGATTTTTAAACATAGTACCTATAAATTACGTACTGAATAATGTAGTCATTCAGCTATGACGACTTTCACACCTTCATAAGCCTACCTACAACGAGAGCGCACACACAAGCCGGCCACTCTCATATCAACCCCTATTATTATTATTATTATTATTATTATTATTATTATTATTATTATTATTATTATTATTATTATTATTATTATTATTATAGGAAAATAGTTTGAATCAAATGACTAATTTCAAAGATGAGAAATCTGAAAAACATTCTCCATTATCTATTCTAACAAGAAACGAAATATTTCTTCTTTGCCAATGTCATTATGTAGTTCATGAATATGTCCTGGCCAACTTTTAAAAGTAACATCTCCGATCAATTGCTGAGAAACCCATTTTTGGACATACTGAATTGGTGTGATAATATCAGCTTCACCATGTTGCATGAGTACTGGACAAGGCATATTAATATTGGTGTTTCTTAAAAGATTTCCTACTTCAAGACACATCGCACACGTACTAGCAGGCCATCGATCATGAACAAGTGGATCATTTCTATAGGCTTTTACAACTTCTGGATCATTGCAGTATTCTACTGTGTAATTACCGTAGATCGGTAGTCGGAAATGAGGACTTAAATTTGCAAAGGCGCGTGCTACAAAGAGTACACCTTTTGAAAAATGTTGTTTCAGACATATAGAAGGTGTGCTTAGAATCATAGCTTGACAATCAAGCCATTGAGGTGATCGACGAACACAATGAGCAGCGCAAAGCACAGATCCTGTACCATGTGCGTAGATGATGATTGGTAGATATAAATAAAGCTCCTGACGTATATAAGTAATGATAGATTCAAGATCGTCGTGTAGTGCATTCAAATGGGATGTGTAGCCACGTTCTCCTGGGGACGAGCCGTGACCACGCATATCATAGCTAATACATGTGATTTGATGATTAGTGTAGAAATCAGCCATATGTCCATATCGTTGACAATGTTCACTGGAACCATGTACAATCAGTAGTACAGCTTGAGGTGGACCTGTTTTCATCGGCCATATCCGACCAACCAAAGGACTTTGATCGAATGATGAATAAAATGTAAATTTTTCATCCATTTGAGCCATTTAATGCGTCTCTCAATCAAACCGTTTATGAAATGTTGAATAGAATGAGAAAAGAACGTCGTATGTTTGTTTGTATTTTTCGTCAATGAATAATCACTACATTTCTTCTTAAGTAAACAGAACTGTCATTTTTTTTCCAACTAGGATTTTTTTTCAAGTGCTATTTGGAAGTAGTGAGTGTAAACATGATGAATTCTAATAGAAAAAAAATTATTTGACGCTATTGTCGGAATTCTCCAAGTTGCCTATATTATAAAAGTGAAATTTATAATATTCATACGAATTGATTTCGAGATTTCGATGACAATTTCGTGCATGAGTAAATTGGTTCCCTTATTTCATTTCATTTCATTTCATTTCATTACTTTCTTAATATTTCAATAGCCGAACTATATCTCTTTAGAAAAGGTATGTATCTTCACGAGGAGAAACTCTGGAAAGACTCTAATATGGAGCATGCCAGTCTTTGTCGATCTGTAAATTTACGCTTACATATTGAATAAGTTCTGAATGTATCAAATAACCATTTCTAAAGTTTCGATTCTTGAGATTAGGCTGTGAGTTACTAAGGTATTCCACATAGAACGATCTGTGAACCATGAAAACATATTTCGTGATGTAAAGGGTTATCACGTCATGCAGTACTTTGCAGCGAAAATAGAAAATTGTAAATATTTTTTTATATAATTCTCTGATCTGCGTATAGAAACTCAGCATTATCTCCATTTTTTTACAGAAAAATATTTCATCACGATTAATCCCAAGAAAGGGTCTTGGTTTTGGGTCAAAAGCGTATCATATCGCTACATCTTGTAACCGATATTCACGTTATCATGTCTTCGAAAAGTCATCCCGACATCTTTTTAAGTAATAATGTAGTGGAATTATCCATCTAAAATTCAATAGATTAGCGCAAAACTTGTATCATGCACGAGCAAGTTCTGAGTCCAAGTAGGTTTTGACTGTTCTCGACTATCACCAGCTGCTAAAACAACACGAAATTTTCCTGAAAAAGAAAAAGAATTCCGTACTCGTCGTGTATTTTGCACAATGTTCAGTATATGTAACTCGATAACGGACCAACTTATTTTAAAAATTCACGAGCGATGTCGAAGGATCGAAGCTTGTGTAAAACTAAAAAATCGGGCGCGCCTACAAAACAAAACTATCACTTTAGTCACATATCACAAACGAATACAAAAGAAACATCCTTCACCAACATCTGATATAACATTATATACAATTTTTGAAAGTAACGATTCACAACGTGAGCAGGAGTGCAGTCCGCTAGTGTA